ATATATGATATGTGTAGAATATGTATATGATATGTGTAGGATATGTGTAAGATATCCTGCATCAACTCTACACATATTGGGTACCTGATAGATATATGATATATATATGATAGGTGTCAGATATATGACAGATTTTTATTGATATCTGTCAGGTACTCATCTGTTACCTATCTGGTATCTAATATTTATAATCAGACATCTATATTACACATATCCTACACATATCCTACATATATTCTATATATATCTGTGTACCAGATATATGTAGGATATGTGTAGGATATATTAATTTCGACCTGTGTTTATATTCTTTGAGCAGTTTTCTTAAAAATCCTAATTCCTCCAATATGAGATTTGACTCTGAATTTTCCTGTTCTTCATAGCGAATAATAGTTTGCATTGTATTATATACTTCGACAGTTATCACAGGTGGGTCAGGCACTTCATCTTCATCCTCAATTTCCTGTTTGATTAGCTTCTCTTCATTCTCATCAGCTTGAACTGTAGCAATGATTTCTTTATCACCAAGAATTTCTTCTGTAGCAATAGGTTTATCAACTACTTGTATATATATTGCTACAGCCTGGAAAGTCTCAGGTACATACAGACTCTTATCAGGTAACTTAGTAATAATTTCCTCATTATCTAATAAAGTATCATTTTCAGCAGACTCATCTATGATATCCATTTTTGACTCATTTGTATTCAGAAAAATTCCTGTCTTATGCCAACAGTTTTGGATGATTGTGTTATTTACTTTGTTCTATAAATTCGTGATAAAATCAATTGCTTTTTTGACGGTTAGCTTTTTTCTATTAAAAAAAAAAAAATTACATTGCTACAATAACAATAATACTGTATCATTTTAAAATAATGCTCCTGGATATTATTTTAAGATATTTAATTTAAAAAGAGCTAAGAATTAATTTAATAATATGAATAATTTTTATTTTTAAAAATCTAAGTAAATTACTATAATTCTTAGTTTTTTTTAAATCATGTATCTCAAAATAACATCCTGAATATTATTTTGAAATAATACAGTAGAGTACAATAAGTATTGTAATTAAAGCTGAGAATTGATATTGTAGATTAGATTATAAAAAGAATATAAGTCTTTTTAGTAGGATTTATATTTCTAATTGAACTCAACCTTTGCTTTAACCGATCTCAGTTTTAGGATATTCTCAAGTATTTCACTTAATAGATCAGAAATTAATAAATTAATCAAGGAGGTTACGAAAAAAATCTGAAGATGCAAACTATCTTTTTTTTCAGAGTTGCTCTGATTAGTTAAAATTCAAAATTCGTATTTCATGCAATGAAATTTTAGTAAATCGTTCTTTAGTTTAGGGGAGCGCCAGAAATTAGCTGATTTTTTAGAGAGAAGGGAGTAAAAAAAATTATCTGTCAAATTACTATGATCGGGCTGCCAAATAATTCGGATTATTTGGTAGGAAAAAAGTTTATTTTGGTTATTTAGCAAAAATTGATAGTTTATTTTAGTTATTTGGCAAAAATTGATAGTTTATTTTGGTTATTCGGCCAAAAATGATAATTTATTTTGGATATACGGTAAAAATTGATACATATGTAGCTTATTTTATTTTATCGAGATGCACTATACATATGTACGTATGAATGTTTTTTATTATGGGTATATCTAGAATGCTATATGGCGTACTTTGCTATGTAGATTTTGAATAAATCGAAGTGTTCGAGTAGTTTCTCATATTTAAAAATTCTCTAGGTGTATCGAAGTATCTAAAGTCGTCTTTCATGTTTTAAAATTTATTGGAAGATCGATGTATTAAAAAGAGTAGTTTGTTTTGTAAATTTCTGATAGTAAGAAGCTTCAAAATTAACGTGGAGAATCTAATTTTGACAGAAATAAATAATGTATTTATTTTCAAATAAGCGATATATCACTTTCTGATAATTTAAAATAATGATTTTTGTCATTAAAAAGTTTGTTTATTTCATTAAATAGGAATATCTAAACACTCCAATTTTATTGTCCAATTTCAAAATTTGATACACAAATAAGGTGTTTTAAACTCCTACTTATTTCTGAAACATACTTTTTTTTAATTTTAAAGCTCTATAGTTTAAAATTCTCCCATATACAGTATAGTTTCACATTTTAGAATTCTTTAGATAGGGCGAAGCACTTGAAACAGTTTTTACGATTGGATAAATTGAAACAACTTAACGATCCTTTTTGTATTTGTTTTGTAATAAAAACTCTTACATTATTTCTTGCTTACATGATCCGATTTTTATCTTTTTATTTAACGTTATCATATGTATTTTTAATTAAAACTTATTTACTCGCTTCATGTTATGCCTGATCGTCGTAATCTAACAGATAATACTGTTATTAGACGCTACACACCAATAACTATCGTATCTGGACCAGAATTTGATCAGGAGATGTCTAGGCCCCTGCAGGGCCCAGCCATCTCCCGATCAAATTCTGGCCCAGATACTTTTCGTTATCTGTCATGTGTAATAATAATATCATGATCATGCAGATTACGATATTATCATTACAGCATGCCAAATAACTTCAGTTATTGGATACTTCGTATCCAATAACTATATATTATCAGATATATAGTTTTAGCTAATTAAAATTTTTTATTTAAAATCAGGTAGGAGAGGAGGGGATAGCCTCTTAATAAAAAAATATCAGCTAATAAATGGCTCTCCCCTTATTACATTCAATACTTAATTGATTACAATAATTTGAGCAACATCTCTATCACTAGCTAATCACATTGAAGGAGCTGCTCGAGAATACCTTTAGTCATACTAATAGTTATACAAACTCTTTTATATCAATACCAGATTCGAATTGTTGAAAAACATATTCACAATATATACACTTATATTTTGATTTAAATGATTTAATTATACTAGCATCCATTGGCTGAATATGCACAGTTGTATTAGGTGAAAGATAATGCATGGTAATATTTGAAAATTTTAGAGTATTAGAAGGCTTTTTCTTATTTCGTTAACGTGAGGATTCAGCACAAGAAATTTGTGGTCTTC